TGAAATATCCAACAGGCAGGCTGAGATGTGAGCTGGAACCCAACTGAGTCTGGTTTCTCTCCAGGTTTTTAATTCTTCACTTTCGCCAACAGGTGAAGTTTGTTCCTCGCCGCTGTCGCCACTGGTTTGCATGGTTTGGGATTGCACACATGGATGGATTTGCTCTTCAGTGTTTGGACTCTCAGTAATGATTATTAAACCACACTGAACTGAGCTGAACTGAACTTAAACTCTGAACACTGAACTACACTGTTTACATTCACTATGATCCTCTATATGAAGCTGCTTTAACACAATCTACATTGTAAAAGCACTGTACTAATAAAAGGGAACTGAATAGAATGTGTTCATGTAACCCCGCCGGTCCCCCGCTCCGAGCTGGGACCGAACCGGCAACCTACCGCATGAGAGTCGGTTGCTCTAACAAGGAGGCTAAAGACCATGACCTCTAGAGTCTGTCGCTAGAGCACCTTTAGAGGTCAGAGGAGTGAGGTTTACCTGCACAGCACTTCACTAGCTGGCCTCCGTTACAGTCAGTTTGCTATTAGGATGGTGCAGCAGCAGAGCCTGCAGGGGGATGATGTGGATCAGCTGATACACTGCACTGTGTTTCCCCGCCGTGTCCTCTGCAGTGTGCTCTCCTCATCACACTAGTGAAGTATGAACTGAAGCAGAGGATGCAGGACTCAACTCTGAGCTCTGAATATTGAGGAAAAGACCAATCAGAGAGGGGAATGTCTGCAGCCACGCCTCAGATGTCTCCGCCTCCTCCATTCTCACTGACATACAGCAGCAGCGCTGAACACCAACACGGCCTCTGCAGCGGCTCCAGAACACTCTGTTATCAGCGCTGGAATACTCTGGGGTAGTGTGGATGAAAGGTGGAACCACAGCAGAACTCATCGGTTTTCAAACTAAAACATTATAGTGTAAACGGGCCTGAGGTCCACCTTTCAGCCAGGTGCTCTCATTAGCCGAGTTTCCACTATCGTGAGCCAGGGCCAGTCGCGTTTCCACTGTCACTTCTGCGGCTTGATTGGGCCGAAGCTGGGCTTTCTCAGAGCCAGCGGCCAGCCTTTTTTAGCCTGCCAAATACCTTGGGCGTAAGAGGGCCAGCTGGGGCTTGGGGGCGGAGTGAAAGGAGAGGCAGAGTTTGCCCGAGTCTGGTAAAGATGGTGTGATGCCGTCATTACACTAGTTTTCTGATTGCTCAGGACTACATGTGCGCATCGGGGAAAACTGCAAACACGAAATGTGTTCTGTGTCCTCCAACAAGTGTTCATGTGTCTATATGAGGCGGTAAAATTAAAGATGAAATGCTAAATGTAGAGCTTTATTAGTGGATATCTGCTGAGCGCAGTGATATACAGGCTATATTTTATCACTCGCTCTTCTGTGCTCAAACTCTGAACACTTTCCTTCACTTAAGATCCCAGAATAATCTGCAGCATCGTTAAATTAAGGGGAATCACCCGTTCAGTGTCATATAGAGGGAAATATTCATATGTTTGAGGTCTCTCTGGAGCATTTGGGCTGAATGTTTGTCTCTAAACGAGGATGTTATAAAATATGTTTGATAGCGAGTTATTAGCGGAGAGTTTCTGTGGTGTTATATTATGGATGGTGCGCTCACTGCGCTGGGTCCCTCTGTTAGTGGCGAGACCACTTGATGCAGGATGCCAACAGTTGGTCGGTGAGTAAAGCAATATACTGAATGAAACACACAGGCCTGTGCGTGTAGACAGATCATGTGCTGCTGTACAGTAACGGCTCATCTGTTTGTGTCGGTTCTCTTCATTTTAATAATAATGTCATGGTGTGCTTTATCCGCTGATTCCCGCTGAAGTGGGCGGGGTTGTGTGAAGTTTGATTTTGGGGGCGTTATGGGGGCGGGGTTTGCATGATGACGTGCTGTGAGCTACTAGCCTGACAGTGGAAACACGACATGATTCCAGCCTCACTGCTCAACCACCCGGCCCGGTTAAAGCCCTGGCTCACACTAGTCAGCAGCTGATGTTTGTGTCTGTTTCTAGTCCAAATACCTCAAAACACCTAAATCAAGAAGTATTAATGAGTCAGAATGAAGGGAGTGTCTCCTTAAAGCAAGCAGAATACTCTGACACTGGAGGAAGAGAAATAATCCTGTTTTCACTGTGACACTGGAGTATTCTGCTTGTTTTAAGGAGAAATGTCTTCATTCGGACTCATTATTGCTGAACACAACACTATATGTAGTTTGTCTAGAAAATGCTGACTGATTTAAGATATTGTAGACATCTGGACTAGAAATAAGACACAAACTCTGGATAAGAACAGCAGTTCTGCAGTGTGAGGCCTCCTGATGATGAAGATCTCGAGAGTGTTTGGGAAACCTGTTCGCTCTCCAGCATTATTCACACACACTTTTTGATAGTAAAAAATAAACAAATTCAGTTTCGCACACTTCACCTTTAAACGCGCTCTACTGAAGTGTTTTCTGCTCATTTCCATCTGAAAGCAGCACGTTTGACTTTCATAGTGCCGCAGGGCTTTGGTTTGGGCCGCTGTGGTGTGTGTGTGAGTGTGTGTGTGTGAGTGAATGTGTCCGGTGACCCACGGGACAAACACAACGGAGCCGCGGAATCTGCATTCGTTCAGCCTCTTTCACTGTGATTTCATTTACTTTCGTGATGATTTCGGGCTGAAAGGGAGCGGGAGGTGCATGGGTTTTGTGTGCGGGTTCGAGAGGCGCGCGGGGTGGTGCTAGGCTAATGTGAGGAGCGTAAAGCCGGCGGGCTTTCAGATGCAGAGCAGCGGCTTTGATGAGCGGCGGATGAAAGACCAGACTCTTTGTTCCACACATGAAGGCATCTGCTGGAGCTGCACTGCAACCCGGACGAGCCCCCCCATACTGACAACACAATGAGGAGACAGCGCACTGATGAAAAGAGTGTGTGTGAGAGTGTGATACTGTGTGTGTGTTTGTGAGAGAGAGAGAGTGTGACACCTTGTGTGTTTGTGTGTGTGTGTGTGTGTGTGTGTGTGTGTGTGTGTGTGTGTGTGTGTGTGTGTGTGGTGAATTTCACGGTGACACAATGATGAGCTGCAGTAGCAGAAGCAACAGAAAGCATCAGCTAGAACTAATTGAGAGACTCTCACTGAGCCTTTGATCTGAGATTCATTCACGCTCCAACAGCTCACTCACACTCACACACACACACACACACACACACACACACACACACACACACACACACACACACACACACACACACACACAGACAGAGGGAGAGAGAGGGAGAGAGAGAGCTGTTAACATCAGTGCACACCTTTGTCTGAGGGTAAAGCTCAGTGTAAACCTGTTTTCATCAGTTATGTTTGCCGTTATGTTTGTCACTTGTAAGTTTTTCATAATTGTTTCTGAAACGGCTTTAAAATACACTCTACAGGCGCTGCTCTGTGAAGTCTACACCGATTACACAACAGTTAAACACAGATGCCTGAAACAAAACATTATGACAGTAACAAAATTGAGGATAACAGAGTTGAGGATAACAGAGTTGAGGATAACAGAGTTGAGGATAACAGAGTTGACGGATAACAGAGTTGAGGGATAACAGAGTTGAGGGATAACAGAGTTGAGGGATAACAGAGTTGAGGATAACAGAGTTGATGATAACAGAGTTGAGGGATAACAGAGTTGAGGATAACAGAGTTGATGATAACAGAGTTGAGGATAACAGAGTTGACGATAACAGAGTTGAGGATAACAGAGTTGAGGATAACAGAGTTGAGGATAACAGAGTTGAGGGATAACAGAGTTGAGGATAACAGAGTTGACGATAACAGAGTTGATGATAACAGAGTTGAGGGATAACAGAGTTGAGGATAACAGAGTTGAGGATAACAGAGTTGAGGGATAACAGAGTTGAGGATAACAGAGTTGAGGATAACAGAGTTTTGAGGATAACAGAGTTGATGATAACAGAGTTGAGGGATAACAGAGTTGAGGATAACAGAGTTGATGATAACAGAGTTGAGGGATAACAGAGTTGAGGATAACAGAGTTGAGGATAACAGAGTTGAGGATAACAGAGTTGAGGATAACAGAGTTGAGGATAACAGAGTTGATGATAACAGAGTTGAGGGATAACAGAGTTGAGGATAACAGAGTTGATGATAACAGAGTTGAGGGATAACAGAGTTGAGGTATAACAGAGTTGAGGATAACAGAGTTGAGGGATAACAGAGTTGAGGGATAACAGAGTTGAGGGATAACGGAGTTGAGGGATAACGGAGTTGACGATGACAGATTTGATGATAACAGAATTGAGGATAACAGAGTTGACGGTAACAGAGTGGTCATTCTCCATCATGTTGGTGTTTAGCTGCAGTTGTTAACCTCCTCATGGCGTGTCTAACACACAGTTTTCTGCATCTTTAACAGATTATGGTGTGTTTAGAGTGAACTGACTGAAATATGACAGTATCAGAGTCGACACATCTTTAATCTACTATTGCTGAACATTATCGAGAGCAGAATAACCACACGCCTCAATGCCTTACAGAGTTTCCCAACACAGGAAGTGACATCGCTTTCAGCAAGTCACATGTTTTTTTCTATTAGTGCTCTACAGACTGTTCTGCCGTTTATAAGTGATGGAGCAGAGCTGAGCAGAACACAGAGACACACACTACATGTGATTACAGCAGAAAATAGATGTGTATGCAGATGTGGATTTGACTAAACACAGAAAATGAACTTAGCCTTAGCCTGATGATGCTAATTGAAGCTGAATGCATGATTCAGGAGGCGGAGACTAAATAGCTGTAGCGGAGTCTGTGAGTTCATATCTGCAAAACTAAACACACACACTGACATTAGTTTAGCTGGATATAATGTGTGTCATTAGTCAAAACTGTACAGCAGAAGATTGATCCTGGCACTGCCGAGTGTTTCCAGGACTCTACAATCCTCCATAACACTCATGAACGTGTGTGTGTGTGTGTGTGTGTTCCAGGTGATCTTCGCTCTGAATCAGACGCTGCTGCAGCAGGAGAGTGTGCGGGCCGGCAGTCTGCAGGTGCCCTACACAACTGAACACCTGATCACACACTACAACTGTGGAGACCTGCACTCCATCATCAGCCACGACACCGCACAGGTGATCACACACACACACACACACACACACACACACGCTCCTTACACACCTTACAGGTGCAGCAACATGCGCGCACACACACACACACACACACACACACACACACACACACACACACACACACTACAGATGGAGGAGGGGCGGGGCTTATTTTAGTATGATGATTTCTTTCCAACTGAAATTGAATATTAAGTAGGGGGCGGGGTTTATTTTTGTGCTCCTCTTTCATCTTTGACTCCTAGGAGAGTACCTGTTGAAGGGGTGTGGCTAATCATATTTCACTAGCAGAATAATTCTTCAGTCATTTGACCGATTATTGATCAGACGAGAACAGAACTCACGTTCTAGAGTGGCGTTCTAGAGCCCTTGAGGACGTCAGCAGAACTGTTCATTCCTGACATCAAGCTCACCAAAATAAAAATACTCATCATGTACTCTCAAGTTTTAGGAGTTTTTCTGTTGGCCACAAATGAAGATACTTTGAAGAATGTTAGAAACCAAGTGAACAAGTGGTGTGGAGTTCAACAGCTACCAGTTTCCAACATTCTTCAAAATGTCTTCTTTGATAGCGAGTGCTCCAGCATACTGTAGTGTTCACTATAGGGAACTGATCAACTGTACTGAGCACTGTAGTGTACTCCAGAGCAGCGGTCACCAACCTTAATGAAACCCAGAGCTACTTCTTGGGTACTGATTAATGTGAAGGGCTACCAGTTTAATACACGCTTCTCAAACAACACATCTGCTCAATTTACTTTAAATGATGTGTTACTGTTAATAATTAATGATATTCATTTATGTGAAGACACTGATGATGTTAATGACTCTCCATAGTGGTCATCAATGATTGAACAAGATAGGAAACAGAAATATCAGTCTGCAACACTTCATTATTCATTCATTCATTTTCTTGTCGGCTTAGTCACTTTATTTATCCGGGGTCGCCACAGTGGAATGAACCACCAACTTATCCAGCACGTTTTTATGCAGCGGATGCCCTTCCAGCCGCAACCCATCTCTGGGAAACATCCACACACACATTCACACACACACTCATACACTACAGACAATTTAGCCTAACCAATACACCTGTACCACAGGTGTTTGGACTGTGGGGGAAACCGGAGCACCCAGAGGAAACCCACACGAACACAGGGAGAACATGCAAACTCCTTATAGAAAAGCCAACAGAGCAGAGGTTCGAACTAGCGACCCAGCGACCTTCTTGCTGTGAGGCGACAGCACTACCTACTGCGCCACCGCTTTGCCCAGTTTTGCTCTCCTATGTGATTTTTTTTCTCTAATCACAAATGTACAGCTCTAAATGGTTGCAGCTATTTGGGGGTTTTCACTGGTCTCTTGAAAAAAGCCTGCTGTTTTCACAAACCTTCCTTTAGCTCGCAGACTTTTTCCACTTGTAGTGCGCTGTCTGGTGGGTAGTTAGCATGTTATTCTGAGATGTGTCTGAACATTGTGCCGCTTTGCCGTCGCCAAATGAAGTAAAACAGAGCTCTTCCTCCTGTTCTGTGTGAAACTGAAGTGCGTTTTGTTCTTTATTCTGCCGTGTTTTCAAATCATCTCCTCTCTTTACTGCACCCAAAACCACTGCTCTGGAGACCCGCTAGCTCTGAACTTATATCAAATATTTTATATATATATATATATAACTTAATGTCATTTTCAGATTTACACCAATGCAGGAGTGATTTAAAAAGAACAGCAACAAAATTATTAGATACAGCTTACTGGTAAGTGGCACTATGGCGAGCTATTATTAGAACAGGCCCGCAGGCAACTCATGATCCTCGCGGGCTACCTGCTGACCCCTGATCTAGTGTTTACTGCAGTAAACGGTGGTGTACTGCGGTATTATATACACTACAGCTGTAGAAATCTACTGTAATGAGTGAGTCATTTGATTATATTATTATAGTCATTGTGTTACCATAGCAACTGAAGAATCACCACAGCAGATCAATCACTGTAGTTGTGTTACTATAGCAACTGTAGAATCACCACAACAGATCAATCACGATAGTTGTTGTTACCGTGGCAACTGTAGAATCACCACAACAGATCAATTACTATAGTAGATGTGTTACCATAGCGACTGTAGAATCACCACAACGGATCAATTACTGTAGTTGTGTTACCATAGCAACAGTAGAATCCCCACAACAGATCAATTACTATAGTAGTTGTGTTACCATAGCGACTGTAGAATCACCACAACAGATCAATTACTGTAGTTGTTGTGTTACCATAGCAACTGTAGAATCACCACAACAGATCAATTACTGTAGTTGTTGTGTTACCATAGCAACTGTAGAATCACCACAACAGATCAGTTACTATAGTAGTTGTGTTACCATAGCGACTGTAGAATCACCACAACAGATCAATTACAATAGTTTTTGTGTTACCGTGGCAACTGTAGAATCACCACAGCAGATTAATTCTGCTACTTTATCATGGTTGAAAACACTCGAGTATTTGCTGTAGTTACTGTAGTATTCCTCCACATGAAGATCTGCACATGTGAACGTGTGAGTGTGTGTGTGTGTGTGTGTGCAGGTGCCGAACTTCAACAATGTGACTCTGCGTCCCAGCGATCAGGTGACGGCGCAGCAGATCGACAGCTACTTCAGACGCGAGCTGATCTACAAGCGTAATGAGCGCATGGGCCGCCGCGTCACAGCCCTGCTGCAGGAACAGCCACACAAAACTTTCTTCTTCGCATTCGGAGCAGGTCAGATCACCAGCGCACACACATCACTAAGTCTCCAGGCGTGCATTATTATCCACTACACCACAGCTGCTGAACGCTGGACTCTGATTGGCTGATGGGCACTCTCAGGTGTTCTTATTCTGGTTTATTTTTGACCTCTGTGAACTAATAACTAATACCTGCTGGTGGTCTGCCACACACACACACACACACACACACACACACAGAGAGAGAGAGATCTGGAGTCTCCTGACGTTGTACATGATCTGACTGTGCTTGTGTGTTGGTGGTTGTCGTGCGATCGGTGTCTCCTTCAGATGGTTGTTTAGTCTGTTCCTCAGCGTGTGTTTATATCAGCTGATCAGATAACAGCAGTGTGTGTGTGTGTGTGTGTTTAAGCGGCAGCGCTGCTCGTTAGCACTGCATTGTGTTTAAGCGCAAAGCATTACCACTGACCGCAGCGCAGGAATCACAAGAATGTGTGTGTGTTTCTCAGTGCTGTAATTCAAATGAGCAGCTGATGGTCAATAACACGCACACACAAACTTAATATATTCTGTGAATATACAAGTTTGTGTATGCGTGTGTTCAATGGTGTGAATATAAGTGTGTGAATGAGTGTGCATGTGTGTGCGTGTGTGTGTGAGAAAGAGAGAATATAGGAGTATGTGTGTGTGAATATAAAAGTATGTGAGTGAGTAAATATAAGTTGTGAATGCGTGTGTGTGTTTGTTTGAGTGAAAGCAGATCTGCTCAGTGACTGCACTGCTGTGTTTAACAAGGCTGCTTTTCATGTGTCGCTTCTGAGAGTTCCTGAGGACTTGTCTCTATTGACTATTGCAGAGTAGTGTGTGTTTGTGTTTGAAGATAACGGAGCTGACAATAACAGAGTCGACGATAAAGGAGTCCACAATAACAGTGTCAATGATAACAGTCGACGGATAACAGAGTTGACGATAACAGAGTTGACGATAACAGAGTCAACGATAATAGTGTCGATGATAACAGTCGACAGCTAACAGAGTTGACGATAACAGAGTTGACGATGACAGAGTTGACGTATAACAGAGTTGACGATTAAGAGTTGACGGTAACAGAGTTGACAATGACATAGTTGACGGTAAAAGTGTTGACGATGACAGAGTTGACGGTAACAGAGTTGACGATGACAGAGTTGACGGTAACAGAGTTGACGGTAACAGAGTTGACGATGACAGAGTTGACGATAACAGAGTTGACGATGACAAAGTTGACGTTAACAGAGTTGACGATAACAGAGTTGACGGTAACAGAGTTGACGATGACAAAGTTGACGTTAACAGAGTTGACGGTAACAGAGTTGACGATGACAGAGTTGACGATAACAGAGTTGACGATGACAAAGTTGACGATAACAGAGTTGACGGTAACAGAGTTGACGATGACAGAGTTGACGGTAACGGAGTTGACGATGACAGAGTTGACGGTGACAGAGTTGACGAGTAACAGAGTTGACGATGACAGAGTTGACGAGTAACAGAGTTGACGGTGACAGAGTTGACGATGACAGAGTTGACGGTAACGGAGTTGACGATGACAGAGTTGACGGTGACAGAGTTGACGAGTAACAGAGTTGACGATGACAGAGTTGACGAGTAACAGAGTTGACGAGTAACAGAGTTGACGAGTAACAGAGTTGACGATAACAGAGTTGACGGTAACAGTGTTGAGAGTAACAAAGTCGACAGATAACAGAGTCGATAGTTACAGACTTGGCAGTAACAGATTTGACAGTAACAGGGTCGGCGGACAATAGAGCAAACGGTAACAGAGTTGATGTCGATGGTAAATTTACTGGAAAATTAAAAGGCAGAATAATAATGTTCAAATAAATGTACTGAGACTAATATTAAAGCATCCTACTGCACTGAGACTGCAGTCAAGTCAGACATTTGTGAAATGATGATGTGATGTTTGTGATGCTCCATTGTTGTGTTTGTGTGTGTGTGTGTGTGTGTGTGTGTGTGTGTGTGTGTGTGTGTGTGTGTGTGTGTGTGTTTATTTGGAGAAAATCCCCCAAACCGTCTGATAGCTTCACTAACA